ATATATATATATATATATATATATATATATATATATATATATATATATATATATATATATATATTCAGAATTTTTTAATTAACTTTTTAGTACTGCATTTTCTTGCATTTTCTTATAAATACTAAAAATTAATTAAAACATTCTGAAAAAATTCTCAGAGTTCTACAAGAAGAAAGTAAAGAATTTTTATCTCGCTATTTTTCGGTAAAGTTGATAGAATTCGAGTAAAAAATTATTGAAACCAATAATTTTATAGATATTTCCGTAAATATTTTAGAAAATAGAGGTCATATAAAAAATGTTTTCAAACAAAAGTTATTTGTTTCTTTACGTAGAATAAAATTTCGTAATAGAAAATATATTTTAAAAAAAGCAAAGTTGACCTCGACCTAACCTTGATAACGCCACTCAAGGTCAAATGGATATTACAGTTAAATGCAACCTTTTATCTTTACAACTTTTTACTTTACAACTTTTGTCTAAAACATTTTTTCCTAAATTGCACTATTTCTGAAATATTAACCTGGGGCGATTAAAGTGAAACACCTGTATGTAGTATATATATGTACTAATAATATATGTATAATATCTCTTGTATATTTTACATCATTTCTCGAATATTTTCAAGATTTACTAAATTCGGCAGCGCGATGTTCTATTTAATTGTTTAATTCAACGAGTATATACAGGAAGAAATATTTGTTTTTCCTGCTAAAATAATTTAAATATTTTAATAACAAGATAGATTAATATAAGATTTTTCATGATTCCTAGTAGCACAGATCATTGGCGTCACATTGACCCAATATGGATTACATTGGCATACATTGATATTGGACCAATATATAGTCTACATATAGCTAATATTGGTTATAAATCAAAAGTGAATTAATTGCCAATATTACATAACATGATTATATCAATATTGGTAGTACATTGGGCCAATATAACATGTGGCCAATATTGGTAAATAAATTGTTAATTTTCAAAATTCTATATTAGCTATAAAATTCAAAGCATTTACTTTACAATATTGGGCCAATATTAGATATATTAAGGCCTAATTTGTAGCTAATATTGTTTCAATAAACTCTGCTACCAGAAATTAGTGTGAATTGTTTTATCTTTGTTTTTTAAACTGATTTATTGTTTTCTTTAATCATTTTAATATTTTATTAAAAATCCCAAAGTCATTATAAGTCATTATATAGCGTCACTAGTGCGCTAAAATACATTGTATAATCGTCATATGCCGATTATTGTTGCATTATTCCAACATTTGTTAGCAAGTATGCCATTACAAGGTTTTCTGAACAATATAAAAGCAATTTATAAACATGATTCACCAAAATATCATCAAAATTCACCAGTACTTACTCGATCATTGCTTGATTAAAACATCCAACGCGGTCTAAGAAGAGAATTCGAGATTCTCTACGGAATCAAAACTCTATGAAGGAACACATATATAAAGTAAACGATGCAATGAAACGAAAAAAATAAAATATCAGATTTTATAATTTCTCGCAGGAGACATTATCGATATGTACTGAGGAAATGGATATCAGAGTGCTAAAAAACGTAAATACAATATTGCTTATAATATTATAATCACATGTAATTTCAATATTATCAAAATCTTTAGGTCAGGGTCAAAGTTTGTTTACAATATTCTATATAATGTTAAAAACATATTTATAAGTATATATATATATATATATATATATATATATATATATATATATATATATATATATATATATATATATATATATATATATATATATATATATATATATATATATATATATATATATATATATATATATATATATATATATATATATATATATATATATATATATATATATATATATATATATATATATATATATATATATATATATATATATATATATATATATATATATATATATATATATATATATATATATATATATATATATATAAGTATATATAAGTATATAAGTATATAAGTATATATAAGTATATATTTATAAGTATTATATATTTATAGTTACATGTTACGTTACATGTGTAGTTATAATTCTTTGCTTTTACTAGGATTAATGTGCATTAAATGTTTCTTTGAATTTATTTAGAATGTTTCAAAATGTATATGTAGTAAATATACTTACTCTGCCTGCACGTTAATTGGATTGAAAGCTTCATAGTTTATATATGATTTATGTTTTGGTTACACACACATGGCAATATTAATATAAACTATCTCTTTAAAATTTTTTTCGTCTTGAAATCTGTAAGGATATATAGCACAAAACAATATTAAGTAAAATATTAAGAAAATTATAACAAAAAATATAATTAAGTGAATAAACATTAAAAATTTTTTTTGTAAAAAAATATAATAGTTAAGTACAATCATGCATGTATTAATTAAATTATATTATTATATGTTTACTTAAACAAATATAAATGTGAATTATAATGTAAATTTTTATTTAAAATGTCTATAAAAAATGTAAATTTTTATAGTGAATTTTTAATGATTTTTTCATAATCGTAGAAGAATATTATTTCTCAATGCTGCTCGTTTTTCCTTCGTTTTTGGGAATTTGTTTTACTCATTGGAAAGCAATTTCGTATAGTACTTTTACATAATACTCAGATAGCACGATGAATTTTTTAAGTGTTCCTAAAGTTTTCTCCTTTCCTAAATTGTACTTACTTAGGAATTCGTGGAAGAATACTATAAAAATGATTTAGGAAGTTACATGCACCATGATTGGAGTTACTTAGAACTTCTTAGAGTATTCATATAGAATTACTTCAACTGAAAAAGATTTCTTCAGATTTAATAAATATATTATTGTATCCACACGGAAGAAAGATCAGAAACTTTGGCCAGGGGGCTGCTGCTCTTGTGTGTATCTGTAGATGTCCACTTTTAATGTCATGTGAGATGAAAAACATCAGACTCGACTGGGATCGAACTCGGGTCTTCCGCTTGCCAGACAACCGCTCTTTCCACTGATCTATTTAAAACTTCATGTTTAAGATATCTATATACCTAGTGAAAAATGATTCGTTGATTGACGTCAAAATGATATCAAATTGACGTCGGTTTAACGATTTCAACGTCTATTTGATGTCATTTTGACGTCAATCAACGAATAATTTTTCGGATACTATACTGTTAAAACTGTTATAACTGTTATACCGTTATATATATATATATATATATATATATATATATATATATATATACTGTTCTAACTAAGCTTCAAATGTAAATAAAGCGCACTTTCAAATATGTAATTCAAAATCCAAAAATAAATGGCTTTCAAATAAAGCGATTGAGTTTGTTAGAACTATATATGGATTTTAGAAACATGAATATAAACTTAAGGATAAAATATACTTCGCATAAATATATTTATTATTGATACAGGTGAAAATTTTATATATCAAAAGTTATTTTAACACCAATTCCCTTTCTTTGCCCTATTATATAAAACTATATAATTAATTCCACAAAATATAAATAACTGCGAATAACAATAAATTAAA